CATCACGTGATGTTATGGAGTTTGATCTAGATAGATGTCAATTTTTATACAACATGACAGTAATTCGTCTCGCCCATGCAATGTAAAATCAATGACACTGTGTGAATCTGTGTCCAACCCGAACTGATCACACACACAGCTGGTTGAGAAATCCGCGAGATATTTGATTACACAACGCAAAATGCCAAATATAGTTCGGCGTGTGCTGAGTTTCAAGGTGTGTGACTTTGCAGAGCGATATGCATAATTTCTACTACGAATTTTATAGTACATGACGATTCTGCAAAAGGACAGCGTAAACTCAATTGTTCATTGGCTGAGCTCTTTTCTTCCTCACACATTATGTGTATTGTCGAGTTGTTAGTGTTCATTAATATACCCGGGTGACTCTATTAACCATCTTTGTAGCAATCGAATTTCATATGGTTGATGGGGGACGGTATAGAACGGGTGCGATACCCTACTCGCATGTGATGAGTTTAGTAGATGCGCACGTCAGGTGTTGAATTTGTCCATAATATTGATAGTGTATAGTTTGGGTCAGACTTAAGAATCTACCATGTCTGTTTGGGGTAAAACGACAATATTTCTGTCATTGGAAGAATGTCAGTTTTCTTGTGGTATACAGGGCCGTTATGGGATATATATGCTCAAGGAAGGCGAACATATATTCCAACACTGCACTGAGGAGGGACGATTTTCCCTTCAGGTTCAGGCGCTGTTGTTGGTGCTCTGTTGAAGGCCATTACTGAGACTACTGGCACAGATGGTCCCGCGCAAGTAAGTTTTGTAGTGTGTGAGAATATACAACTACATGTGTTGGTGACAATATAAATATTTCCGAACTTGTATGTAATGAGGAAATAATTGAGCTCAGAACACTGGAGTTATGCATCGTATGATTTTTCACATTGCAGATCGTAGCAGCGTTAGGGGATATTTACGAGAAGATGAGTGAGAATCTCGGTGCGAAACTATCGGCGACTAAAGTAGGTTAACCGAGGGAAATTTGGATGGATTCATCATTGGAGTTTCACCCCCCTAGAGATGTGAAAAAAAAACACTAGCGAACAAAATATATTTCACGACTACCGCGAATATTGGGGCTTTCACACAGTGCTACGCCACTTAACGTAAAACGGGTGAAACTCCAATATATGTAATGCATAAGACGTCGCTCGCACTAGAGCCTTTGATGATATTTCTGGCCGTGGACTTTGACACGCTTCTTATGGGGGCTCCTGTGGCCTCAGAGGCATCATCATCATCGCATCGTGAGTGATTGAAGAGCTTGCATAGTGTGGGAAA